GTTCTGATTCCCACGGCATCCTCTGCTTGGTAGGTGGTGCGCTGCTGAGGCCCGCAGGGACAGAACCTGACCAGGCATGCAACAATGTAATCGAAACAGGAAACAAAAAGTCGCACAGGCAATATATTTTGCAAAAAAAATTTGGCCAGCGACCTTTTGCGTGTCCTGCTTCTGGTTCCCACGGCATCCTCTGCTTGGCAGGTGGTGCGCTGCTGGGGCCCACGGCGGCAGAACCTGGCCAGGTATGCTGCCAAAAAAAAATAGATATGTTTACTTCTATATATTTATCTTCGCCGGACCCAGGCTAACTCTGTGAATCTTGAAAACAATATATAAACATGAAAACAAAAAACAACTACAACAAACAAAAACCAACAAAAATCAAAAAACAAAAAACAAATGAAAAAACAAAACAAAAAACACACAAATAACAAAAAACAAAAGCAACAACTCCCCCCCCAAAAAAAAAACACAAAAACCACATGAAAAAAACAAAAACAACAACCAACAAATCCAAAAAACAAAATACATGTTCCACGTTTTCTTCGTTTTTTTGAACGTTTTTTTTCGTTTTGTTTCCGTTTTTCACTTTTTTGTTTGCCCGCATTTTTACGTTTTTCTTAATTGGTTCCTTGTGTTTCTCGTATGTTTCTTTAATGGTTTTTTGTTTTTTCGTGTTTTTCTTCGTTTCTTTTTTGGCTGTTGTTTTTTTTCATATGCGTTTTTTTTTCCGCTTCTTTGTTCGTTTTTTTCGCTGTTTGTTTTGTTTAGTTTTTTGTTTCGTTTTTTGTTTCGTTCTTTTTTTTCGCTTTTTGCTCTTTGGATTTGCGTTTTTGGGTTTTGCTTTTTCATTTGCATTTTTGGATTTGCTGTTTTTTTGCATTTGCTTTTTGCGGTTGCTCTTTTTTGTCGCTTTGTTTGCTTTTCTATTTTTTTGGCAAAACCATCAGAGATAGCCTAAGTGGTTAACGTAACTATATATATATAACAACGCACAGAACAATTTGGAGGTTTTTTTTCCCACATTGACTGGCGTAAACGCGGCGTAGCGCTGGTGAGCGGGATGATTGGTGGTATCATGTAATATGTTTGCTTCTAGTGTGTAGGCAGCCCGTGTGGCGAAATTACGTTCGTGATGTCGCAGTGCCACGCGGGTTTGCTGGCCTTGGTGGGGAGTGCGTTTGCATGGCGCCGTGCCACTGGGGAGCGCGAAACATGCTGGTGTAAGCGCGTCGTGTCGCTGGTGAGCGAGATGATTGGCGGTATTATTATGATGTATTTGCTTCTAGTGTGTGGGCAGACCGTGTGGTGAATTTACGCGCGTGATGTCGCAGCGCCATGCGGATTTGCACGGCCTTGTTGGGAAGCGCATTTGCGTGGCGCCGTGCCACTGGGGAGCGCAAAACATGCTGGTGTAAACGCGGCGTGTCGCTGGTGAGCGGGATGATTGGCGGTTACCGACAAACGGTTCATCCCTCAGTTTCGTTTTTGTTTGGAACCCTTTCGTTTTAATGCTTACTCCTACTAGCTTTTCGTGGCAGGCGCAGTGTTTTGTCATCATCATCATCATCATCATCATCTTTATACATACTCATACATTACACATCATCATCATCATACATACCACATCATCATCATCATCATCATCATCGTCATCATCATCATCATCACCACAATACATTATCATACATTATCATACATCATCATCATCATACATACATACATATGCAGACATTATACATCATCATGCACCTGTGATCATTAGACGTAGTGCAGCGGACCCAGCAGAAAGGCATCAACTAACTCAGTGATTAAATGACGTGGGCCTCAATGACAAGAATGGTCGCGTTGCAGTTGACACATTGTGATACATTGCTACCCCAAAAACATGGTACCATACATGTTACCGACAAACGGTTCATCCCTCAGTTTCGTTTTCGTTTGGAACCCTATCGTTATAACGCTTACTCCTACGATGCTTTCGGGCCACCCTGTCGTCTAGTTAGATTGTCTGACGTCATAGATTTAAAGGGCCAGAATGGTATCTACGGTCAAGTTCTGCGACGCTAGAACTGTAGTAATTCATTTGCCCTCTTTTGTACTTTTGCAGCCGTAAGCTTAGGTTCCCCTAGGCATGTCTACGCTATACGCGTGTAGCACCTGTTGTCCGTAGTTAGTTGTACATATATAATACTTTCTCTTCAGTCAGCTGCCGCTTAATTCATTTGGCTCAAGACTTGGAAGCCCAATACTGCACTCTGTGCCATAGAAAAGTGCGCTCGCCGTCGCTCGCACACTGACCATACAAGAGAGGGTCTTACTTGGTGTATTCGATCAGGTAATTCACTGCCACTTTGGGGAACTTACCCCCTTCCCTTCCCTTCCCTTCCCTGCCCTGCCCGGCCCGGCCCGGCCCTGCCCTGCCCGGCCCCGCCCTCCCCGCCCCTCCCCGGCCCTCCCCTCCCCTCCCCTCCCCTCCCCTCTGTGTTTGGTAGGGTCCTAGGTCCCCTAGGCGTGTCTACGCTATACGTGCGTAGCACCTGTTATCTTGTATAGACTAGTTGTAGCTCTTCAGTCCGCTTTCGACCTAATTCATTTGGCTCAAGGCTCAAGACTTAGTAGCCCAATACCTGCATCCGCAGCCATAGAAAAGGTGTGCATCGCTGCCGCTCACACACCGATCGCATTCGTGTGACTTCACTTTGGTGTTTCGATCAGGTCCAGTTAAGCAACTGCCACTTCTGGGGGAACTTACCCCTCAAAGTGGTAGCGGAGCTTGTGTCTCCTGCTTCGCAACGGTCGATTTTGCCTTCGCGCCGAATCGTCCGATATTCCGGACAGGGGACAACCAAGTAGGTCACTTGTCTGAAAACAAAAAGGCCATGGTTCAGATCTTTAGCATAGATACGGACGAAGAGCATGACGACAGCCTGTCGGAAGCAACTGATCCAGAAGAAGCTTTCGCCGCTCAAGGCACGCGTCATCGCCATCACCAAGCAAGGTCCTCGAGTTCGACATACCGGACGTACGAGGCACAGCCATCAGCAGGTGTCAAGATGACACCAAAAATTCCTCCGTCATTTGATGGACAGTCATCCTGGTTCGAGTT